ACACACACACACACACACACGACAGCTGGCCTAACGGAGGCAGCTTCTTTTCCAAGTCATTAATGGGATGGAGACTAAATGAGAGGGGGGAGGGTTTGTCTACCCATCAGCCACACATGGGTCAAGCACAAATTAAGACACATGCTCATAAATCTTGTCGAAGAATGAACTAATTTAGCAAAGAGAAAGTCTTACATTACTCCTGACATGTAGACTGTACCTTGTCTTGTTCGTCTGTTTTTCTGAATCGGTCTGCAGAGATGTGGTGGGATACTATTTGTGGTAATATTGACACTGCTCACCAGCACCTCATTTAATTTCACACCATTTGACTCACTGGCACATTTGTGCTTGTGACTGAGGACATAGACAGAACTTCATGAAATTTTAATGGCATCACTTTAGCGTCAGATCCCTCATATCATTTTGTCTAAACTCCAACCAAGTGTGTCTGTAACCCTAAAGTCAGTGAACCTGTGAAGATCGGTGCCACTTGCGCCTTGAGTCACATTTCAACATGCTGAACATGCAGGTATCAGAGCTACTCATCTCAGCTCTAACAACTGTGAAACCATGTTTGTAGGTTCACGTAAGGTCATGGTTCATTTCCAGCTCAGTACAGGAAATAATGTGTGGGATCATATAGTGGTACCTGTCTTTAAAGCCAGTTTATGTTATTGCCTACCTTCAGCCACCTTTTTACGTACATTCTGTTGTCCATTTAATTAGCAGAATGACCTTATTTAAAGCACTTTTACTTCATCCTGAGTGAGCCACCACCGGCAGCTGGAACTATCACAGTGGAGTTTGTGGTACTAGACGTCGTCAAGTGGTCAAACACAAGCCTCATTGCAACATATGGGCATTCCTTCAGTCTAACCAGCAAGCATAGGTAGCTGCTTGTATCACTGTGAGGACTAAAGATGGGATTATTTTATGTTATTGACATTGTGTTCTGTATGTTGCCAACGTCCTAGCTAGTCTAACGATAACCAAGGGAGTAGAAGACTGAGAGTTAAGAAAACCTGCAGTCCCAAAAGGGGATATTTAAATCATGTGCCATTTATTATTAAACATGATAAAAATAGCATACTTCTGTACTTTAGGAGCACACTAAGTACAAGAAAGGGTAAGAGAAATTAAGCTGTAACTTTCTTTGGCAAGTGTTTCAGTGTACTTACTAAAGAAAGGTCCAGCAATTTAGTATTGCACTTCCATAAATTTGGGG